GAGGGAGGAAGGGGAGAGAGGGAGGGAGGGAGGGAGAGAGGGAGGGAGGGAAAAAGGGAGGGTGGGAGGAAGGGAGGAAGGGAGGGAGGGAGGGAGGGAAAGGCTTGGGAACTGGCTCTGCTGCCCAGGGCCCTGGTTGGGGCCCTGGTTTTCTGTCTGGTCTCTGCTGCTGGGGATGGTGCTCTAACTTTCCCTTTTCATTTAATTAGGACACAGTTGGCCTTGAACTTGCAATCCTCTTCCTCAGCCTCCATAACTCAGCTGGGGTTACAGGCGGCTCAACGGCCCAGGGCCCTTTATCCAGCTCCAGAAAGACAGGAACCCTCCAGCCCTCCCTCCCGAAGCAGCCAGAGCCTCTGCCTGCCCCTGGGTGTGCCCGCTGGGATGGGGGGGCAGAGGACCCTAGGCCACGGTGGGCAGAAGCCTGGACTGCCTTGGGCTCTCCTGCCCAGCAGGGCAAAGGGCAGCCAGCACCCCACCTCTCCCAGGGCCCTGGGAGCAGGGACACTTGCCCACCTGCAGAGGACCCTCGACTCCTCCGTCCAGTGCTAAGTGGCGCACCTGCTGGGACTCCTCACGCTACGGGTCCAAATCTGCCCCAGCCGGGCACGTGTGCCAAGGTAGCCCAGGAGGCCCTTCTGCCTGGTGTCACCCACCCTGATGTGAGCCCCAGAGCAGTCTCAACTCAAACTGAACTCAACTCCCAACGTGTCACTAACATTCTTCTGGAACTCAGTGTGTCCGTCTGTCACCTGGGGATGGCGAGAATGCCTGTCCCTGTGCCGCAGTAAAGATCCACTGAGACCAGTTCGCCCCCCAGTGAGCGCGGGTCAGGACAGACGCTGCCCAGGCCTGGTGGGGACAGAGGCAGGAGGGTCCTGGAAGGAGGCCCGGGGTGATGCAGCTTCGACATGCACCCGTACCCCCTGGGGAGCTGGTTACGATGCGGACTCCCGGGCCCCACTGCCCAGCCTGAGACGGCTGGAGTCTGGTTAGCTGGCCAGAGGGCTCCAGGGCAAGTGGTCCTGGAGTCACCCTTACCCAGGTCTAGGCTTTGCAGTCCTAGGAGAGCTGGCACACTCCCAGAGGAAAGAGCTTTAAAAGCTCCACACCACCCTGACGGGAGCTTCCTCCTCCTGAGGACACAACCTGCAGGCCTCATCCCTGGGGAGGCACTGATGGGGGCGGGAGCCTGTGTTCCCTACAGAGTAATAAGTCATACACGTCTCCATGGCAGTGGCACTCCCCGGACATGTGAGCATTCTTAATGGCACCTGGCCATAGAACACCAGAACTGCTAAACCACCTGTTCCTGGGCAATGAATCTGCCAAGAAAAGCACTAGTGGCTGCACCTCGCTTCAAAACTAACAGCTGATTTTTGGAGAGTATCTGGACAATTCCTTTAGATCACAGGTTGGCCAACTTCCATAAAGGGCCAGACAGTAAATATTTTCACTTCTGTAGGCAGACAGCATCTGTTGCCAACTACTCAACTCTGCCACTCTGGGAGAAAGCACCCCGTAAACCGTAAGGAAACAAATGAGCAGGCTGTGTGCCAATAAAACTTTATTTCTGGCCACTGAGATTTAAATTTCATACGATTTTTGTGTCATGAAATATGATTCTTTCCACAAAATATTCTTCTTTTGATCTTTCCCAGTCATTTAAAAATGTAAAACTGAATCCCCAGCACCACAAAATAAATAAATAAAATTTTTAAAAGTAATGAATAAATATTTTTGAATATAAACATCAGTCTTAGCTCATGAGCCGTATGAAACCAGGCACCAGGTCATGGTGGGCCGAGCCCTGTTACAGATGCTGACTCTGAAACCAAGTGGCGAGCACCAAGGTCACCTCTACAGAATGGCTTCAACAATGAATCTGCAGAGGATGGGACGATAAATGTAATGTCCCCTCTAATTAGTTCATTGTCAGTCATCCCCCATCCTAAGGCTGGGTGTTTCTCCCGACACCGGTCCACACTAGAGTCGCTGTCATCTTCTGACTGGACCCTGAAATTCCTGTCCTTGCTCTCGCCTCTACAGTGCACAGGAACCCTTGAAAGCACAGGTCCTATCACATCATGCTTCTACTCAAAAGCTGCCAAAGCTCCAAGTCACGGGGAACAGATAAAATCCAGAGTCCTTCCTATGGTCTACAGGGCCCTGCAGGACTGGTCCCTCCTGTCCCTGTTTTTCTTCACTCCTGTCCTTCCAGCCACACTGACTCTTGGTCCAGGAATATTCTGGACTCCTTCCTGCCTCAGGACCTTTGCACCACCTCTTCTTTCTGACTAGCATTCCCATACTCCCCTCCCCCACCAGTTCCTTCTTATTATTCTGTTCTCAGCTCATACGTCACACTTCCTCTGCTCTCAACAGCCCCTTGACTCTGCCAAGCACTCTGAGCACATGCCTCCATTTCCATTTCTTCCTGGCACTGTATTTCCTGTTTATTTATTTCCTTACTCACAGTTTCTCTTTCCTTCCCAACTGGAAAGGTAAGGTCCCCAAGGGTGGAGACCTGGTCTGCCTCGCGGATCCTCCTCCCCAGCTCCAGGAGCACCCCCAGGGCCTCACACCTGCCAGAAGTCCCCACCACTGAGCTGGACCACCAGCGTCCAGGGGCTCAACTCTTACTGTCCAGTGAGTACAGATGCCCCAGCTGGGAACAGTGCTGGGGGTCAAAGGCCAGCCGAAAACACCGACTGGTGAGACTGTGAGACGGGTCCTGCATCCTGCCCGCAGCAGGCCTGTGCCTGGGGATGGGCGACGATCCTGCCCAGGCACCGCAGCCCAGGGAGCACCCAAGGAACCTGGCTGCCACCAAGACCACGCCCTGTGCAGCTGCTCGCTGAAGGCTGGCCCTGGGAGGGTCTGTGTGGCCACCGCTGCCCACAGGGAAAGAGTGAGCAGCTCTCCCAGACACCCCTCCATGCCCAGGGCCCCCGGCCACGCTGCTCACAGCCTGTCACCCAGCCCGGGAAGCCCGAGACTGAGTCTGAGCCCAGGCCCAGGCATAAGGTTCCCTTCTGGCTACTCTTTCAAGGCCAGAAAAAGGCCACCGAACAGCAAGGGAATGACACTTTCCTACTAGAAGTCAAGTCCAAGTCTCCAGCTCCTGGCTCCCCGTCACTGCCCCACACAGTCCAGCGAGCCAGCCACACTTTAAAGCCACTACACTCTCCCGAATTCAAAGTGATAAAAATAAATACCAACGGTTAATGCTGAGGGCTGGGCAGGAAGTGACAATCATCGTCATGAGGGCCGAGGCAGGGAGCTCAGCCTGGGCCATCACTCCCTAGTCCATGCTCAACGGGGTCACATCATGGGATCACAGCCAGTGATCTGAGGTCAAAGATCACTCCCAGCTCCGATGAGGGAAACCGAGGCCAGAGACGCGAAGCAAAGTCACCAAGAGCACACAGCTAGGCAACAACTGACCGGCTCAGGGACAAGTAAACCAAGCCAGTGTCCCTTCCCTCATCAACTGACCCTCTAGGCTCAGCTCTTTCACCAGTCAGAATCCCTGGTGTGGAGAAGGCTGCGAGGCTGAGACATGCCAGCACCACCACTGGGCAAAGGCGGGATTCCCAGGGGCGCTCCCAACCTTTCTTAGCAACCAGTCTCCACCTGTGTCACTTTCTCTTTCTTAAGGAAATTAAGCTTCTTTAAGGGCAACCGAGGTGGACACTTGGGGCTACACAATGTCTTAACTTTCAAGCAGTCTGGCCTCTCCTCTCCAAGGGTCTGAGCCAGGTAAGGCCCCTGGAGAAGTGAGACCCCTGCCCCCCAGCAGGATCTCGAGTTCTTGGGGGAGTGCTTTTCCTTGGAGTGTATTGACTGATTTAAAAGGAAAGAACTACAATTTGCACACCGACGCTCAGTTCAAAAGCAAGACAGAGAATCAGCAAAACAGACTTGGCCTGGCTGCTACTTAAAGAAAAATATCTTTCCCAAGTTGGCAGATCTTCTGCCCCAAAAAGCCTTGCAAAGGTTCTCCTCTGAAAAACGTGGACTGCTTCCCCTTCCCTCTGACCGCGGCACCCGCTCCCGGCCACGTGGCTCTGGAGGCTGGTACCTCCTCATGACATGTGACCCTGTTGATACAAACTTGACACAAAAACATGTGTCTGGCCAAGAGAAGTGGCTTAAGGAATCTAAGAAACTTCCTCTGCCGCCATTAGACTCCATTTCAGAAGGGAACAGACCAGAAGTCCTGGTCTCCAGGAATGAGCCCCCCAGACCAAGGGCCAGAGAAGACCAACCGGGTTTCAGTTCCTCTAAAGCTGTCTCTCACTCTTCCCTGCCACGGGCTTCCATTTCTGCAAACCAAATCCTCCAGACTGAAGCCAAGTGTACTCCTAGCCCACAGCTTCTCCAAGAAAGTCCCTCTCCACTCCTCCCAGAGAGAAAAAGGCAGGTGTAGGAGTGTAGGACAGTGTTGAAATCAAGACAAGCTAACATATTCGGAAACAGTAGACAGAGGTAAAAGGTTCAAGAATGAGCTGTAAAGAAATTCCTGGAAGGAACTGGGGGTCCCTTGATGTAGAAAAGGGGAGAGAGCGACGATTCTCCCCATTTTACAGGATGTAAAACTGAGACCTCAGATGGGCCAGGCACTTGTCCAAGTTCTGAATCCTGGGGACAAGTACACGGGGCTCTAAAGGGACGTAGCACAGACTGCTGCACACAGCTTCTGGGAGCGCGACAGCCCGGGCGGTGGCTGCCCCACCCGGTTCCCGAGGGTGGGGGGCCGCGCGACCCCGCCCACCCACCTTGGCCCCGCCTTGTTCCTCTCTTGCTCCGATTGGCCCAACTTCTCCAGGCCCGCCCCTTCACAGCTCCCGACATATAAAAGCCCCCCGCCCCGGCCGCTCGACCTCCACTCGCCGCGGGCCTGCGAGCGCCCGCCCCTCGTGGGGGACGGGCCGCGGGGTTGGGGGGCGGGTGGTGTCGCCCCAGCCGGGCCCCGGCCCCCTCCCCCACGGTCCTGACAGTCGCCGCCGCCATTTTGACCGCCCGCCCCTTCCCCCTGGACTGTGATTACAGCGACACCCGCTGCCCGGGCCCCACCGCCTGCCCTGGCCCGGCCAGCCACCCAGGGCTGTCCCGGTTACCTCGGCTTCTCCCCACTTCTGTCCGCGGAAAGGCTTTTCGGAGGTCTCAGAGGCGATGTTGGGAGGGGGACGGAACGTGCCAGGGTCCCCAGGCCGCGCCGGGGGGGCGGGGGTGGGGGTCGACCGGGCGGTTGTTGTTGTTGACTCGCGTTGCCGGGTTGCTTGGTCGCCACGACTACCGTGGCTATGGCGCCTCCGTTTCCCTCACCGGGGCAACTGTTGCTACCCACCCTACTTACGTCACGCGTAGGGGCGGGGCCCAGAGTGATTGGCGGTGCCGGGAGAAGTGATTGGACGGCGCCAGGCCCTTAAGATACGCTATTGGCCCCTAGCCACGCTATTCAACGCCCTCTTGACTTCCCGGCGCTCTGATTTATCAGTATGAATGTCCCTCAAAGGAAACTGAACCCTTAAAGGCAGCGGAGCCCGTCACTCCCGCAAGGAAGCAGCGGGCTAAGAATAAAGGGGTGGGATCTGTGAAGACGGGATTGGGTTGAGGCTATAAAACTTGCCTTCTGGTTCGACTACAGGGATGTCGATCTAGCCCAAAGGTTTGCCGCGCTCTCTGGTTGGAAGACGTGCGCGTGCGCAACCCGCAAGGCCAGTTGGGAGTTGTAGTCCTCTCTTACGAACTTCAAATGACTTCCCAAATCAAAAAGGCGAAAAAGGAAAGATTTCCTTCGTACTTCTCGCTTTCACTGTGGGCGAGTTTCTAGCCTCTCGCACTGACGTCACGAGAGGAATGCGGTGACGCGCGCTGCCCTCTGTGACGTCAGCGGCGGAGGCTGGGCTCGGGGTTCGATGACGTCACGGGCGCTCTTCCCCACTGTCCCTTGCCCTGAGAGGGTGGCGTGGAAGTGCACAGCACAGGCGGGGTTCGATCTCGGGTCCCAGACTCCGAGCGACCCACTCCTCCGCCCGGGTCGGCCCTTGAGAGCAACCGCCGCGCCCTCTCCGACCTCCCCGCCCCATCGGGCCGGGAAAGGTCACCGCTGGCCGGGCGACCGCGGCTATCTCCGCCACTCAGGCGGCGCGGCCGCCCCGGGAAAGGTCTCCCGAAGGCGGGGGACTTAATTAGCTGTTCCTACCGCGGGCGATAAGCAAAGGTCAGCGCCCAGCCTCTCCCCGAAAAGCTGGCGCCGCCCGCAAGGGCTCCACACAGGGTCCCCAACCCGCCTGGACGCGGTGCCGCGCCTTCCCCAGGTGACAGGCGCGAGGAGAAGCTGGACAGGCCGAGCCCGGGCCAGGGGGGCGCCTCCGCTGCAAAGACTTAGTATTCTAATGCAGTATGTTTTAAAAATCAAAATTAATGGAAATGAATCCACGATGAGCCAAATACCAAAATGTTAAAGAAAGGCAGGACCCCTCGGCCCTGGGAGTAGGCCAGAGGTGAGTCTTGCAAGCACAGGATCAGATCTTGTCTTTGACTTTTTTATTTTTTATTTTTTTAAACCCGGTTGCTGGGGATTTAACCCACATCCTGACTCGCCCAGGCAGGCTCTCCACCACTGAGTTATCTGCCCCCAGCCCTGTCTGTGTGAGTCTCTGTGTGTGTGTGTGTGTGTGTGTGTGTTTCACGATTTTTCTAAATGAGTAGATTATAG